TTACTTCGCCATATCGTCGAAATGGTTATTAACTAATTAGACAAGAAGTTGACCAAAGTAAAAGGAGCGGTCGAGCTTTTTTTCTGGACGCGAAGCTCCGGAATTTTGATCCGAATATCCATCAGCCATCTGAAGGATCCTGACAGATTCGGGGAAACAACTATCAAACAGATATGCTACTGTAAATGATTGCTATATGTTGATTGTATGCACCGTTTGTACTAAATGAGCTGAAGTCGAGGTGTTAAGAGTTTTAACTATACCTTTGCTTAACTACACTGGGAGCTGCTCACGGGCACGAAAACACAAATTCCCAAAACAACTATTAATATAATTTGCTTCACAAGAGCAGTTTAATTAATAGATGCAGAAAGAAGTGACTAGTTCAGGTGATTTATCTTTTGATTTCGAATTGACCATAAAACGTATGGAAAACATTAATTATAGTTTACGTGCATTAAAGATTGTTTGGATTGCTCGTCGCAACTTTATTATCAGCATTTCTCCAGGTGGATCACCTCTAAATTGTATCTATGTATACAGAGACATTTCGCTCATAGTCAAGCATTCTTTATGCCCTATTTTCATGGCTAAAAGTTTATTTATAAATTTCTCCGGATATCCACTTTCTTTCAGTGTAGTACGCAATGCCTTTGTTTTGGTTTCAGCCGCATCTAGGGAGCATATAGTCATAATCAGATTTCTTTTATATTGTAAAAGAACAAAACCAAGGAAATTTGTATATTAGTTAGTCCAAGAAGATAATTTATTGAAAAGAGTATTCTTCTTCCATGTATCTGTGTTTCAATATGATGAGAATTTTCCAGCGATTATCCATTGTTATTTATTAATGCGTGTTTGATTTACAGTAATCACATTAGTGAATATGATTCAGATATAGGTTTATCAAGCTAGTGTGGGTTTAGTGTGTTGCAACGAAGTTATTGTGCTCAATTTATCAATAGTTGTTAGCAAAGTGTTTTTATATTTGTTAACGTTGTTCTTACTAGATCTAAAATTATTGCCAAATAACATAAATAATGGTTTGCTCAATCGTCATCAAAATCACAGTAACAATAGATAAATAACCACTATTCATTTCTATAATGAAGAACAGAAAATTCAAATTGAGCTTTGCAGACGGACAGTTAATTAATAAACAATACGGATAACCACAAAAAATTATTCATTTCTCAACCATGTTATCCCACAATAGGAAGTGTTTGATTTATGACTAAAAGTAATTATCTGTTGTTTTATTTTACAAAATCTTAAGTTACTTAAACAGTTTCATATAATAAGTGAGTCGTATTTTGATAGAGTTTTGTTCTCTGAGTTGGATGGTTTGGTCGTGGAGCTTTCATCGTTCTTCTGGACGACATCATCAGCACAAACTTCAAATAGAAGTGAAGTGTTCGAATTTCTCCGTATGCGTTTCACAGCTCCACGACCAAACCATCCAGCTCAGAAAACAAAACTCCATCAAAATCATCTATAAATCTTCTCCACCATCTCAAATGCGTCGTATAAATTTCTTCTTTTCGATAAACGTTTTTCTTTGTCCTTTTCATGGTTAATCATCGATTTATAAGCTTATTGCTTTATATATGTAATATTCAGTGTTTAGTTGAGTTATTTGGAAATTGTGATTAATAAAGTTGGCAACTAAGTTGACTGAACCTATGAACTTATATATTATGCATGCTGTTTAAAAATACAATAAATCTGTGAACATTTCCTATCCACGTTGTAAAGGTAAACTAGAAATCAAATGATTATGTACGAACAGATTATTTAGAAGAATGATTTCAATAGCTTTTAGATACTTAATTAAGACAGAAAGAAATCACTTTAACTTTCAAATAATTTTAATCAAAATGTGGCTGTAATCTTGGTGAATACGTTCAAGATCCTAAACAAGTTTATTCAATATCATAAAGTATTCTAAGGGATAAATTCATAAACATTTGTTAATCCTGAGATTAGTTAACATTTACAGTAACCTTTATTATTATTATTATTATCCGTATTATTGTGGTGTGAGCTACTTATATCCATATAAGTAGTATATAACGATAGTCAGGAATAGAATGTATTTCATTAGAAAATTGAGAAGGAAAGAGCGGGAACGGAAATCAGTTAGTATGAAAATGCAGAAACAATTAAATCTGAGACAATGGACTGATATCTTTAAAGGAACAATCAAATTTGAGACAATTGATTGATATATTGCAAATTAACTATTTACGGTATGGTTCTCAGATTTTAGTAAGATGTTCTGTAATATGTTTAAAAACATTCGGTTGTCCCTACTCTTGTTCTTGTTCACTACGTTCTTGTAATTATTAATACTATTATTATTACTACTACCATAAATTACTTAAAATATTGAAAAAAAAACGGGATTAAAATTTATGATACATTTCGTCAAAAAATCACCTTGTATTAACTCGGATCGAATGACAAGTGAAATTATGAAATAAACTATTAAATATTCAAAACCGGAAAACACTTGAACAAACGATTGTTTCCAATAACTTCATCATCAGGCTCTACATTTATAAGTTCATAATGATTATGATATTTTACAATAACCAAACTAAGTCATAGATTAATGAATTTGAAGATGTTATATGTTGGAAAGAGTAAACATTTACAACTGGAACAACATAATTACCTGAAGATTATGCTATTTGTAAATTATAAAAAAACATTTAATATATATCATAATGGTTCAGAGTAAGGTGTCAATTCATAATAAATATAATAGTAATACAATAAATCGTATGAATAAAATGCATTGTAGGTTAATTTCACCTGACGTTTCTAACTTATAAGCAACACAATCTTGGAGTGCTTTTGTCACTACAAATGCAAAAGTTCAGTAGTTTTTAATATAAAACATTGTCAAATTCATTAATCTATGGCTTAGTTCGGTCATTGTAAAATATCATAATCATTAGATTTATAACTGTAGGGCCTGATGATGAAATTCTTGAAAAAAATTTTTCGCTCAAGTTTTCTCTAGTTTTGAATATTCTGTGGGGACTTTTAAACTGTTAAACTATTGAAATTGAAAACAAATGCGGTAGAAATTTATTCAACACTCCATAATGACAAGTATGATAAGGATAAAAAGTGCGGAAAGTTTAATTTCAGTTTAATTGAAACTTAAAATGGACTTCATAACTAGCTTCTAATAGTAAGAGTATTGATAACAAACATTATTGCAAGAATGTAAAACTAAGCAAAAAAACTGAAGTAGAATTTCGTTTTCTGAGTTTATAAAATGAAAAAGATGGTATCCAACACCTTGTTAACCGCTAATTGATTTGATATTATTTTGACTACTTGATAAATCCCAGTAGGTAAGTATTTTTAACTAAAATATTGAATCTTCCGTCTGGTTATTTTGAAATTTTCCTCTACAATTCAAATATCCGCTAAGGTTTAAGTAAAAAATATTAATGATTTATTAACCTAAAATAATTTTTTTAATAAGTAAAGTGGACAATATGCCTGGAGGACTCTTGACATTTAAATATTAGTGCTTCGATGGGCCTATGAAATCACTCACTATATGGTTTTTTATGAAGTTAATTTATGGCTATGAGTTTTCACTGAGTAATGAATTCGAATAAGTGACATAATTGATCAACTTCTTTCTTTTGTTAAACATTTGGACAAACAAACATTTTACTACTATCTTCATTATTTCAACAGTCGTAAATACAATCATATTAGTATTGATGAAAATATAGCGACTATGTTCAACACTTTTATGCAAATGTTAAAACCAATGCCAGATACCATTTAGGTAGGCTGTTCTTGACAGATATACTGTATCAGTGTAGATAAAAATGAAAGCTATCCCTCATAAGCTTTCCGGATTTTAAAATGGTACAAGTGATTCTACGTGTTAGAACGGATATAAGTTAAAAATCCTCATGGCATTAAAGAACATTTACAGGAAAAATTTACTTTGTATAAAATTTTCAAAAGTTCGGAAGTCTCAATTCATAGCTATCTGAATTTGACTTTCGATATAGACTTATTGCAGCTGTAGGGCTATTGATAGTCAGAAAATACTAAACATCTAGTTCATCCTAGTTTGGTAGTCCCCGATAGCCTGACAACAAACTGTAGTGTCGGTTACTATGTTAAGTCCATATAACTTATTCTAGCTTTCTGGATAGGCCGATTTATCCATTCTTCTTGAGTCACGTTTTGACCTTGTTAATTATTCACTTATCTATCCTGAGTGTTTTTATATGAGCGTATGTGGGTGTAAAATTTTTATCCTGTTCATCACATAGCTATAACTTCACTATGTCTCACTGATTATCTGTTCCCAACAACGATTGTACAAAATATATGTATCGGAAAATCCATTCTCTTATTTGACTTATTTAATTCCGTTATGTACTAACATGATCCAAGTCAATAATTATATACGAGGAATGACAATATGTATATCTCAATAGCAATCAGAAACGATCAAACTAGAGTCAGATCTCGGGCCAGCAAACTGACGAACCCCGTCGACAACATCATCTAATATAATTAACATCTAAATGAAAGGCTCAACTAAAAATTTATATTTTATCAAAAATTCTTATATTTTTATAAACAGTTAAACTTGAACTTTTCTTTCTAATAGAAATAAACAAATTTTTGGATAATTGAAACATTTAACTCCAAAAAGAAAACAAAACTGAATGTATCGATTCAACTTTCAATAAATATATTAGTAATAATAATAATAATAATAGTACAATAATAATAGACTTATTTTATTGAAATATTTCATTAGTAATTACTGATTGGTAAAAGATCTGAAATTCTTCTAGTTTATTGTTCAAATAAACAAACTGTATTATAATTTCCAAAAAGTAAAATATGCAATTTTAGAAGTTACATTATTGATTAATGAAAATACAGAAATATATATATTGATAATAATATTGGCACTACTGAATAAGATCAATTGTAATCCATATATTATCGATAGTACTCATGGTGACTAAACTACACATAAATATTTTGTGTAATTTACTACATACATGTATACACACAAACATATACATATATGCACACACAAACATACTCAAATCTACATTTTTTCCACGTGTCCCCATATATATGTGAGTTATACCATGTTAACATATATATATATATATATATATATATATATATATATATATATATATATATATATATATATATATATATATATATATCGTCTTTAAAAATATCAATATTTATTGATTTGTTTTTGAAATTGTTTCAAATTACTTTATTTAATCAAGTAAATCAAAAAGATAATTAGAATATATGATAAGATTACTTACTTACGCACGCACGCACGCCTGTTACTCCTAATGGAGCATTAGCCGCCGACCAGAATTCTCCAACCCACTCTGTCCTGGACCTTCTTTTCTAGTTCCATCCAATTCTTGTTCATTTTACTCATGTATATCTCCATTTCCCGGCGTAATGTGTTCTTTGATCTTCCTTCTTTCCTTTGGCCTTGAAGATTCCATGTGAGGGCTTGTCTTGTGACACAGTTGGATAATTTCCTCAATGTGTGTCCTATCCACTTCCAACGCTTTTTCCTGATTTCTTCCTCCGCAGGTTTGTTCTTTCCCATATAATAAGATTAGAAATGATAATTACAATATACTCACTGATGATTAGCTTCATGAACGAATTCTCAAAGTTCGAATGAGAAGCCATGACCCAGTGTCAGGTAGAGACAAATATCTACCTCAAACAATGGAAGATAGTTGCGAAATTTCGTGGACTAGTTGTAATTAGACATTAACACCGTTGAATCGCAGAGATCGAATGTTCTGAGTTCGAATCCCACGAGTGTGATCGTAGACGTTCACTGCTGAGCAGTTCCATGCTAGAATGAAACGATTGTCCAGTGCTTCCAGGTTTTCCATGATAGTCTAACATTTACCAATTCATGATCTCAATCAAAAACTTAACAATCTCAACAACTATACACTGAGAATTGATACAGTTAGTTTGATTATTTTTGAATTAAGTGAAATTATCTAACATACAAACTATAGAAATACATTTCACTTAAGAAGAAATTAATCTTAGTTTCTTTTGAATCCTATACTAAAGTGAATTGATTATATAATTACTTGAATCAAAATGTTTAAATACAGATAATCTATGATTGTAAGAACTAGTGGTAGCAATAATAAAAAAGCTTTATGAATGATAATAGTAATCATTGTACATAGTAAATTAATACCAGACTGGAGATCATCTCTGGAATGAAAGTACATTTAATTGACAGGTCATAAGTGAAAAGAAACCCATATCCTATATTTCACTGTAAGCCCCAATTTATCTCTGCTTAATACGGTAATGTTTAAAAAGACTTTATATACTGGATTTGATTTATGAGTATAACTTATGATTCCGATTTGTTAACAGAATCTTCTGTTTCTCTTTTCTGAATCAACTAATACCACCCAGAAACCGTAACCTATTCTGATCATGTTAACAATACAAAATAACAGCAAATCGATTAACATTTGAGTATCACAGATCAAGTGACTTTTGAGTATATATTATTCCAACTATTGGCTGTATGAAAACCTACAAGAATACAATTAAGAAATTTAATTGTTGTAAACATATGTATCAGTTTGGTTATTTTATTGTCTAGTCAAACTCATTTTGATAAAACAATAAAAATTGTTAATAGCAGTGCTTTTACTTGGCACTTTGTTCAGTAGCCAAGATTACAGTTGTTTGATTTATGAGTTTTTGGATTCCCTGACAATTGCTCGATAACGTCTTCAAAAGCCTGGAAAAGATTAAAAGAATTTTTTCCAATCACTATCTATTGGAACCGTCTAAGGAACGCTTAGTGAACCGATGGGCTGAGTCATGCTTTGACTGAATGACTACTTACTTTGTTATTATGTTAAGTTTGCTTCTAGATTCTCCTAGATGCCCAGGGTTATAAATGCACCAATAAATACACTTGTTTTCTGTATATGATAAACCTTGAAGAAAATCTTCTGTCCTTAATTCTCTCTTATCTTTTAAAGTTCAAATGAAGAAGAATTCTGTGAATCTAGAACGTGGTTAGGAAGTCATTATTAAACATTCGAGTAACGAGTACTTTAAATAATGTAACTGAAACATTGTTGATAAATATGAGAATTTACAAGTACTAAAAGCTTATTCTATATATATTAACTATTATTGAATCAAATAACGAATGTAATTAAACTTCTAAATCTATAAAAAATGCCCAAAATAAACAATAGTGTTAGATGATACAAGTTAGTTCTAACTATAATCAATTAAAGAACATCTCAAAATAAAAAAATAAAATATTACCAATGATTCGAAAAGCTAAAGTGTTTGTTTACCAAAACTTCACCAAGTTAATTAATAGATCAGAATGTTTGATGTATTCAGCATTCAGAAGTATAAGTCACTTGGTTGATTATTTTTGTTGCTGATGTTTGAGTATTAATGAACAAAGTTTCGCATCAAAAACTGACTACTAGACGTTATTGCATATAATTCTCTAGTATTCTTTACTTATGAAAGGTAGTTAACCAAAAAGAGGAATAACTGACTTGTAATTGTGACGAAATGTAGATGTACTCAATTTAAAATAGACATTAAGATGATCCACTTAAATGAACGTTATTGTTTATATTTATGCGTCATTACGTATCGTTCTGTGTATCGACAGATGAGATAAAGCTGTACCGTTATCCTAAGAACACAGGCATAAACACTGTTTGTGTTTTACCTTTATCTCTATGGTCCAGTATCGAAAGCATACATGAAGAGCTTAGCTGAAGCTCAAAAGATATCAAGCATATCAATATATCATTGCATCGAACAGGTTCAAAATACTACTTAGATGACAGTTGTTAATAATAATGACTGTGGAACCTCATAATTCAAATGTGTATCCATATAAAATATATTTGGACATATAAGTTGAAATGCTTTTTGAATGATTTCACACCGATTCTGTAAAAATCGGTAAAACAAAAAACAAACTTGTATATGTATCATGTAGAAGAATTAACAATCCTAATCGTAATTCAATTACATGTGATTCAATTCCTTATTGAATAGTGAAGGAAGATTGCCTTCTTTAATTTTCGGTAGTTCTCTTAATGAAATCAATATAATCTAAATATTATAATCAGATGACTGTTTTTTGTTGAGTATTTATTATAAATAATAAGTATGTAATAAGTCTGTAATACCATTTCAAAATACCTTTCATATAACTGTCAATGTTAGTGTCACTTATCATAAGATGATTTTAATGATGTTATCATCTGTGCATTCTTGCATATTGACTCAAATAGTGAGTAAAAATAAAGATAGAATGGTAATTGTTAAGAAAAGATTTTATCATTTGTCATCATCAGGTAAGCAACGTCATGTCAATTATTGATTTGTTACTTTTTGAATAGATTGTTCGTTTGGTTTAATTAAATGGTTGATAAGTATGATTATTAGATCGCGGATGCTTACTCCTGAATAGTTCCATACTAAAACGAAATAGCCATCCAATTCTTCCAGGTTTACAATGGTGCTCTAGCTTAAATCGTCTCATGAATTCAACTAGTAAAATTACTACAATATCCACAAATCCACATTCTGATATTAATCATGTGTTCACTAGTGACAAGCATCAAGATGGATTTCCTGGAGTTCTAGTGAGAAGCCGTGACCAGTGGAGTCCAATCCGTGTCGGGCGTGAGACAGTTATCCACTTTAGACAATGGATGAAAGGTTGTGCAAGATCATAGATTGATTAGATTTATACATTCTGAAAATAAGAAAAATGTTGTATTTCTCAGTCCAAACAGTTTAAAGACCTGGTGAGCTGTAATACGTTTCAATACATTCTGATCTTATTTTCCTCGTGAAGTAACATCGACATAATAATCAAACAAACATGATAATTTGTTAGGCAATTCAAATAAAATCTCCTGTTGTAATCAGTTAGTGTAAAAATGTCTTGACAGAGATGAAAACAAAAGTTTTAAAGGTCAAGATATTTTTTAAGTTTACTCAGTCCTATTCCATAATGTTTATCATTTCTATAACTGCAGGAAAAAATCGGTTTCTGACAAACAATAATATGTCGCAAATTAACTTACTCTTTACTGATTATCATGGTGATTTAGACAAAGTAGAATCAAAAGTCGATCTTGAAATGAAGTTAGAAACATATTGTAGTTTTATCTTGGCAAATTAGGATTTCACATGTGTGTGATGAGCCTCAGCTTAGTGAAAAAAGGGCATTTAAACTATCATATGAATATTTATTAACGCCTCACTCCTTTGATGCAAGTTGTTACTAAATTCGGTGGAATATCACACAAGTGAATAAACCTTTGATGACGTACTTTAGAAAGAAGATGAAATACCGACAGTTAAACTAACTCTCTCAGTAAATACAATACTACTAAAAGAAGTATATCTATTTGTTTCAGTAAATCAACATCACGAAGTGGACAATAACGAATATCCCTTGTGTAGCACAGGATTATCCTCGATCAATAAAATTGTAATTGACTTTCTGACAAGAGAAGAATCAGGTGTTCGCTTCCATTTTTAATATGAGTGTCAACACTTAGGTTGTGAATGAGGATCTACGAATGATCTCAAATGAAAGTGAAGTAGCTCTAAATGTCCAAGTGGTTTTCTTCAGATGATGTCAATCTACACTTAATATATATAATCCTTATCGCTGTTTTTTCTATGTAGATAGTAGCTTAATGACAGTGAAAGACATTGTTCGGATCGTACGGTCATCTCACCACACAAGCTAATTGGTGACTAGATTTCAGCAAATAAACAAGGGAAAAAACAAATACGACATTCCCTCTCATTTTATCCTGCTTAGTAAAATGCAAACAAGTGATTGCATCAAGCTGTTAAACAATTCCATATGGAAACTTTGGAACCTTGACATTAAAGTACTACTGAATATTATGTAAACAAAGGAGATGAATCATATGAGATTTAACGTTGCCACAAATTATTAGGTATAAATCTACTCATATTATTTAGTTATAAGATACAAACACATTTTAATTTGAAGAGGTCTTTTAGTGTTAAACAACCGTAGGTTCAACAAAGGATTTCGTTTTTACAATTCGGTTTTCAATCACATATAGGAGCTCATAAATATTATGTTATCCATCAAATTGTATACTCATATAATATAGAATATAATATGTTATAATAGATTGTTAAGTTAATCAAGACTTGTAAGTAAATAGTAATATCAAAGCTATCTCCTCAAATGTCAACAGAAACTGATCGATCTCAATTCTGAATGACAACGATAGACAATTATAAATCATTACTAATACCTTCATACCTGTTGAATAAACAAGTAGTTGACCGAATTCAATACTATGATACATAGCAAATCGATATATGATACCAAAGATACTGAGCTCGAGTTTCACCATGGATATCAATACTAGGATAGTGATACACTTCACGGACGAGTCTTAAAAATACTAAAGTACGAGTCATAGATTCCAGTGTTAACTGCAGTCTAATTTCACTAAAATTAATATACTTCTCCATTGTTAATGTAGGACGTTTTGATAATTAAGTTGGTTATATCGTTCCCAAAATATATTGACAGGTGATTGTAAAAAAAGTGTAAAGGAAGTAATGAATTATCCTTTTAAGCATAGAAATGCTGTATATCATTAATTTATGAATTCATATAAATGACAACCAATAATTTCGAATAGTCAGTCTTTTTCAGTTATAAAATGAAAAGAAAACCAGAAATGTTTTAATGAATAATAAATAAGAATAAAGTATCATAAACCATGTTTGTTTACATAACCTTGACTGAAACTTCAACAATGTAAAATAGAATTGAAAATATTTGTTAAGATCTTATGTATTATATCAACAACAACAACAACAAAAACTAAAATCTTATTTTGTTTAAATCATTGATTATTTTAAGATTGAGTATGTTATAGATCTACCTTATTCTTTGTCAGATCATACATACTTACTTACGCCTGTTACTCCTCGCGAAGGAGCATAGGCCACTCACCAGCATTCTCCATCCAACCCTGTCCTGGGCAATACTTTCCAGCTCCTTTCAGTTGTTATTCATCCTTTTCATATCTGCTTCTATCTCCCGACGTGATGTGTTGTTTGGCCTTCCTCTTTTCCGCTTCCCTTCAGGATTCCAAATTAGGGCTTGCCTCGTGATGCAGTTTGATGATTTGCGTAATGTATGTCCTATCTATTTCCATCGTCTTTTCCTAATTTTTTCTTCAGCTGGAAGTTTGTTTGTTCTCTCGCACAAAAGGCTGTTGCTGATGGTATCCAGTCAATGGATGTTGAGTATCTTGCGTAGACGGTTATTTATAAATACTTTCACCTTCTGATGGTGGTTGTTGTAGTTGTCAGATCATAGTAATAATTAATATCAAAGATAATGACAGAGAAGCCGAGATAAGCAAACATTGTGTTTGCCTCCATATTAACGTATGAACAAGTTAATATTTATTAAAATGAACTGAATAGGGTAGACTATTCTTCATTTGTAAGTGTTTAGTAGGGTGGTTTTAATACTATAATTAACTGTGTAAAAGATTTTTCCCAAAAGACTTCTGTAGGGTTATTCTTAATCGATTATAAACATTATTCCATATATTGAAGCTACACTAACCATATTTGTTTAAAACTATGGGTTTAATCGTTGATGATGACTTCTTATTTATTGTACAGTAGAGTAAGCAGTAAAAATCTGAGGTTTTGTTTTCGCTCTACTTAAAACTAACTTTAAAATTTCATATGATGGTCATTCTATAAAACACTTCAAAATTCAATAACTTCTTAGGGAGCGAAATATCAAAACAAAAAATGAAATTTTCGAGTGAAATTCTATTTTTTCTGTAAAATTATAACGATGAACATTAATTATTATAAGATATGAGGATTTATTGAACACTGAACTACCTGTCAGTCATGAGGAATATAAGCCCTGATATTATTTCTCACACAGTGATTTTGTAAAATTCTACCTTTAAATTGTTACTTTAAACAATAAATTAGTTAACAATGGACTAGATGAAGACGTTATGTTGTGAATGTGATCACAGGTGGGGATAACCAATGTACAAAATATCCTGGTAAAATATGGGAACCATACATTGAATCCTTTATTTGCAAAATTCTCTCACTTGTTCTACACATTCTGTATGATTCTTCTAAGTCACAATTTTTTTTTCTATTTTCTTCAAATCGACCTTCGTAGCATTCTGCTGCCATGCATTTCTCTTCCGATTAGTGTTACATACTACTTATGTCGATAGACATAAGTAACATATACCATACTTATTGTTATCCCTTATATATGCCTCTAAATGTGATAATTGCAGCTAAACGATAGCACAATGATATAGATACTTAAATGTAAATAATAAAATAATCAAATATATTTTACGCATAAATTTAACATTTTATTTTCCAGTGTACTGTTAGCAACATACCAACATTTTAAAATTCCTAACCACCTTATGAAAAATAAATGAACTTTGTTCAACTATATGATACATCTAACATTATTTAATCAAGCTTAATTGTAGACATTTGGACAAAAACATTGAAATGTACACTATACATGGTACTGAATTGAAACCAAATAATATACAATGCTATAAAACAAATGAATAATGTTGCATAATAGACTAATTATCAGACAGAGTTATGAGTTTAAATAACTAGTTACTACACTTTAAAGCCCAAGAGTGTGTCACAAATGAATGTAAGTTGTTGTTGTTTTTTTAATTTTTATTTCACTATATTACTCATAGTTTAGCTTTGAATTTTCATTGTATTTTTGTTTTTAATATTGTAACAAAAAATAATAATAATAATTTTAGTTGATTTTATTTAAATCACAGAATTCAATGATATTTCTTTAGTGATAGTTAAATTACATATGAATCAATCAGTTTAAAGCCACCGGTGTTTTGATTTGAATCTATAACAACAAACATAATCACAACTACAATCCATGGATGCATACGTGCATATATATATATATATAGGATGCATTCGTTACATTCTTACACTACATTCACTTAATCACATATTCATTTCTACTCGTACTCATCACTAACACTCAAATAGAATGATGATGATGATGATGATGATCATAATAAAGAGAATAATGTTGATAAAATTGACCTAGACCTATTTGAATTATGATTGGTTGGCATATAACATGAATTGACAAGAATGTTATTTAATTCATTTTCATTTCATTTAAATGACGTACAATAAATTTACTGACAGAAAAGGATTGTTCATTATACATTTTTCACATTTTTATATATTCTGTATTATTTTTTCTCACTCACTCACTTACTCACTCTCTCTCCCTCTTTTTTCTTTTTAAATAGACAAATCCATGTAAACAAAGGTATATATTTAATTGTCTAAGATATAAATTAGTTACTAAGCTATCTATTTATTTTTTTTTATTTTTGTTCACCTCCCTATAAAATTGATTAGTGATCTATTTGTTTGTTTCTTATTGTTTCGAGTAATTTTAACAATTTTTTTTTAATGAATTGTGTAACCGGTGAAATTATTTCCATTAATTTTATTTCATTACATTAACTATATATTTGGTTTATTTATCTAAAATAGTCAATAATAATAATAAAACAATAAAACAATCTGTATGAATCATTGAACATTTGGATTAGTAACAAAAGAAAATGAATAAAATTATAATATTCTTAACAAGTTTATTAATTCTATTCAATTTACCAAATGGTATACAATATGATCAACAATATCAAAGAAAACATCAAGAAGAAAAACCGAATCATAAATTGAAAAGGATTTATTTAATGAATAAAACATTTCAAATATCTCCATTAAAACAACAATATTCATATGATGTACAACCAAAAATGTTTAATATCCATTTGAATGAATCAGATGAAATGAAAAATGCTACTAAAGATGTAATTAATTTAATTACAGGACATAATAATAATAATAATAATAATAATGATAATGATTATGATGAAACTGGCTTAATAGATGAAGAAGAAGATATGGAGTTAATTGATGAATTGAAAGAGTATATGTAAGTTTAAATAAATAACTCATTATGATTAATATTATCAGTAGAATAATAATAATAATAATAATAATAATAATAATAATTAATCAGTATTATATGTAGAATTTGAGAAAAGATTCAATATCAAGGTAAAAATTGTAACAATCAATTACAGATTCATTTTACTTGAATCTTCCTATTGATTTTTACAACTGCAATTGATCAGTTTCTTATTGACATATATGTATCTTATTTGGATTGTCTCAATATTACATCCAGCAAAGATGAGATTCGCGTTCTGAACTCTACTGATAGACCCTAACCATGTTTTGCTTTTATTCATTTACAGAGTATAAAGTGAATTATTTTCTTGAATTATTATTTAATTTATGACATGATCACTGAATTCATTTTACTTGGTTACTTTATATTCAGGTGATATATGACTGGAAAAAATAGCATGTATTTGACTTGTCTTTTTTTGTTCTTAATCACATTCATTGTTTTGCATACATGTATATGGTTGTGTGTGTGTGGTCAACTTATATTGAAAGTGAAACAAGCTGATAGACAGTTATTATTTTATTCCTAGAAAAAAGAGATTTGTAAGAAACTAATAAAAAAGTATGTTAGTGGTTGATCGACTAACTTCAGAATAATTCAATTAATATATTTTAAACGATCTAATAAGTGTGATTGATTATGAGACAAATAAATTAAAGTAAACTACTGAAATTTAAATGAATTGTTTTGAAAAAAACTAGCATCTAACTTAGGGATGATGAATCAGAGACTCAGTGAATCCTGATACTGTTCTGATCATAGTAACTGTAGAATCCGGTCTCATGCATACATGAGCATGAGAATAGATAGTCTTAGATTATTTCAAACTGTGAATATAACTAGTTGTTTGGTGCTTTATTTTTCTTTAACAATTCATCAGATGGTGTCAAGTTGTGAAAATTGACCGTAAAATAATCAATTTAATGGTGAAGAGTATTTTTATAGATATATGTCAAAGTTTTTGAATATTCATAATTAAATATTTCCAGCTTGTTTTTGCCCCATTTTCACAGAACTATTGTTCTTCCACACAAGTGACTAATTCATAGTGGTTGTGCTACACATTTCAATAAGTTCTACTGACGTATATTTACCGCATTATTCATTTTGCGATCACACAAAAGATATAAATTACACTAACTCAACAATATATAGATGTATACTATGAGCATAACTTTTACAATAAGTAACAAAATTGCAGCTCTATATCTATGAAGAACTAATGTACTATCGTTAAGGATATTAATTGTTGAAAGAAGGCTTTTAATACTACGTCACTTTAATTATAAACTTTTCAATTACTTTTACTATTGACCCTACTCATAAGAAATGCTCTCAGATCCAAGTTAATAACAGAAAAGGGATCAATTATATCTGATAGTTTAACAATATATGATATCAGATGGGTTTTGTGGATATTATAATGATTTCAATGGTTAAGATCATGAGTCGTTCAGTTTCATGGATTAGTTGAAGTTAAACATTAACACCGCTGGATGCTGGCTCAGTGGTCTAGTGGTTAAGTGCTCGCGCGCGAAACCAGTAGGCCCTCGGTTCGAATCTCGCAGGGGCGGAGTCGTGGACGCGCACTGTTGAGGAGTCCCACAATAGGACGAAACGGCCGTCAACTGCTTCCAGGTTTTCCATGATGGTCTAGCTTCAACTGACTCATGATCAGAACCATTGAAATTAATATATGATATATTAAAGACAGTGTAAATTTGTCGACGATCAGTAACTTAAATTTAATTTACATTACTAAACAACAACAGACAAAGAACATGAATAAAACATAATTTTTAATACAATGTGACAGGTAAAAATAATCAAGTCAAGACTGAAACAAAAGCGTACAAATAACAACAATCGCAAACTAATTGAAGTTAAATTATGGATTAGAGAATATTAGGCTAACGTACTAACCAGCTCAATCCTATAGAAAACTACACTGTTCGGAAATGTTAAGACATAAAAAAGTGACTGTTTCATGAATATCGTTTTCCAAATGTTTTCCAGTTTACCTCAGTTCTTTGCAAAAGTTATTTCCAAGTTCTACAAATTTTTTTTTAAAACCTTAACACAAATATCCCATTGCTAAAATGGCCAATATATGCAATTCGAATTTTCATCGAGTTATAATGATGTACTTTATGAGTAAAAGGGATAGAACTTTGTGATACTTTGATGTAAATCAATACCCTTAGCTAACTACTATAGTTTGTATGTAATATCAACTAGGATTTCCAGAATGTCTGAATTCTAATTCGTGTATATCATTGTTTATATTATGCGAGAACTACTTTTTTTCTTCTGAAATACAGATTTTAATCTTCTAAGCCAAATTTCATCCTCTTATCTAAATACATTTGAATAATTGTTATTTTTATTAGGTAAAATTCAGACATGATTTAAAATATTTACCTACAACTAAACAAGAAATTGAGTACATAATTAAATCACTTAGAGTAAACATTCTAACAGTCTCTATGGTTCAATTTCATTTTCAAACTTCAAGTGTCATGAAATAACTTTATCATATATGTATTTAAATTGTAGTAAAATACAAGATCAGATAACGTGTTCAGCTGAAAATAATGAAATGATTAAAATTTCTAAAGAACATTTCAACTGATCAGACGATGTGTTTAAGCACATTGTATAGTGTATGTTAAGAGTAATCATCTTTACTGATGAAATATTTTCCACCTGTTCTGTTAATACAACATTATAAATATATTTCATGTATAAATAGCAAATTATAACACTTTTCGCGGTTAGATGTAATATGACAGGACTTTTATAGTTTATTCTTCGTGTATAAAGTTTAATGTATTTGCATTTTTCGGCGAAGGATAGATGAAGAAAAAAATACAACAATCATCATAATAATTCATTTTGAGTTTTGTAACATTTAACTTGTTTAGTTTTCGATAAAAGTGAATGAATCAATAACAGTAGTTGCAGTTTATGCAGAACAAATAAAAAATGTAAACAAGAACATTAACAGAATGCAATTGTTATGGAGATGTAAGAACAATGAAGTCTGAGACGATTGACTGACATTTTGCAAACGAAGGATTTATCGTATGGTCTTGAGATTTTGCTACGAGATTCTGTAATTTTGTATTTAAATACATTCGAGTGTCCATATTTGTGTCCTCGTTTACTACATTTGGTGTCGCTGCCAACTAGAGGAGGGGAAGGGTGCTGTTCTGCAGACGCCTTTGCGGCCCTGGATCTGAGGTGCCATTTGGAACGGCCTGGTGCGGGAAGTTGAAGTCAAGTGAAGTGTTCTGGTGGAGCAGCGTTGGCTGTAGCGAGTGCTGTCGACGGAGAGTGGCGGTGGGACGTATGGCTGCTGGGCGGAAATCTGATGTACTTGGCTCAGCAGGTTGCTGAAGTGTAGGTGCTGAACGTCACAGGTGCAGCGTGTACGTCGGGTCTTGATGGCCTGGAGCGTCGACGGAGCCATGAAGATCAACTTTCTGAAGACTCGATGTTTAGACTCAGATCGTGGCACAGATTATGGGAAAGAAGGTGGCACCGCTAGCAGAATCACCGCAAGAACGACTGCCTAAAGCGGGGTGAGTGTGGTGTATGCTATTGATGTCGACATATATAAGTAGTATGTACCATCAATCGGAACTAAAGTACCTGAAGGCAGAAGGTTAAGAAGACCAAAGTAAAGAGAACGAGAACACAGAATTATTCGTGTGGAAACGAAAGAACAACGAAATCTAAGACGACTGATTGACATGTTTAAAATGAAGTATTTACTGTATGATTCTGAGATGTTACTAAGAAATTTTATTATTTTGCGTTCAGATACATTCGATTGTCCCCATTTGTGTTCTACTTGACCACAGTAGGATTACATATGGGGAAACCAGTCTTTCTATACATAGTCTTATATTATCCATTTGCATCTTGCAATGTGTTTTGTAATCCGAACTGTTTTCTAGTTTGTTCATCGAGAGTTCTGAGTACTCCGCGATTTTGATGTACTAACTCTTCTCTCTGTCTTACGACTGTGACAACTTCGACGACATGTTCTGCTACGTACTACTCACAAACAACCTTGTAAGAAGCGTCCACAACAATACGTTATTTTAAGACATCAGTGACTTTTTAACAGGTTAATTATGATTTTTCTGGTCATTTATACGGTTTGTTGCTAAGCATTTGAATAATCATACACTTACTGTTTACTCCCAATCTATTTCACAGATGTACAAAATAGATAGTCCTTACTGTTAAAATGTGAAAATTAGAGTATAAGCTATTGAGCATGTCTGAGTATATTGTATGTTCATGTAAATCATGAGACTTTAATGTAAGTTTGTTTCATAATGCCACATACATAACTTTTAAACAAATTCTTTTGTGTACACTTGAACATTGTTAGTAATTCTTTTGTAATTAAAGTAATTTGTGTAAACAGATTAGTAGATATTTAACTAAGCACACGGTTCATTTGTTTTACTCTCTATATACATCGTTGTAACTATGCAAAACATTGGTAATCAGAGCTCATTATAAACGTTTGCTATACGCTAATAATATTGCGGATGTTTGCTACAATATGTAAATGAAACTCACAGTATACTTCTCTGTCGCAGTTCTTTTTTTAGTAGGAAGAGAGTAATTTGTATTTCTCATGGTTATTGTCAATTACATCATTATCTCAACTATTGAAATTACTGCGATTTCCACATAACCGCTTCTGATACTAATCAACATATGCTCACTAGTCACTGGCTTCAAGAGGTATATCTTGGAGTTCTAGCAAGAAGCGTTCACCAGTGGAGTTCAACCGGGTCAGTTGTGAGATACGAACTCACTGATGACAATGGTGGATGTGTCGCTCAATTTCATGGATTAGTTGAAATTAGACATTAATACCGTTGGATGCCAGTTCAGTGTTCTAGTGGCTAAGCATTGGGCGCGAGACTGATAGGCCC